CAGTACATTATACATATGCATACATTGCTAAATCATATACTTGGAAGTATCATACTTTTACATAATTAATAATAACAATATATATTTTTAAAAAGTCACATTCTTAAAACTTATGGTAGTGTTTTTGTAAAAATCTTCCAAGAGAGTTTAGTATATCTAGTTCTTCGCAATTTAGAATCCAGAATAATTTTTGTTTATCAGGCAATTCTGTAAAATGTTTTACTTTAGATGAGATCAAGTTAAATTATAGGTCTTCTCTTTCCTTTGTAAATTTGCTACAGTGAATAAGGAAATGTTCTTCATCTTCAATTTGATAAAGCGTGCAATTTTTACATATTCTTTCTGATCTGGGTGTGTTATTAAATCTGCCCAATTTTATGAGAACAATTCAGTTGAAGCGCCAGGTTAATAACAATGGTCGAGAAAGGTAAATGTATATGTTTCAAATGATTTGGAAATGTGTTCGAACAAATAAGATATTATTTCAAACAATTCATTCAGTACATATACGGCTCAGAAATATGGGGAATATTTAATGTTAATAACTCAAAAATAAAGCAATCTAATCAAGTATTGATGCAACTATACTATAAAAACTTTACAGTTGAAAATTTACACATCAAGTTTTGTAAAACTATACTGGGTTTGAATAGAAAAAGTATGAACCATGCCTCTGTTTCGGAATTAGGTATAGATATCCTTTACATTATGATATTATCAACATGTTACTTACGAGGGGTGATCAAAAAGTTCGCAAACTTTCTCTATATCTACAAAACCACAATTCAGATTAGAATGAAATTCGGTACACACATGGCCATACACAAGTTCTATAAATAGCTTATGCTGAATAAAGTTTCTCTCCTTGTTTATGACTTCACAATGTGAAAATGACCTCACTAGTTAGGTCACTTGTGACGAAAAATGGTTATTTCAGACGAACTCGTTCAACAAACGACTGTACAATTTATTGTATATCTTAGAAATCCCTCTACAGTATCATATAATAATTTATACACACTTTATTGAGATAAATGAGTTCCTATAAATTCAATTAATGCTTGGATTAATCGTTTTAGTGAAGGAAGGCTGATGGTTAAAAATGATACTTGTCATCTTGCCCAGTAAAAGCAAGTTTGAAAAGATATGTATTTTTAGTTAAGCAATTTGCTATTAAAGACCTCCAATTAGCACTTTGAAATATAGTTGAATATTTGAACAATGATATAAGTATTAAATACCTAAGATATTGTTTACTTTAGATTTTAAACATATTAGATATGATAAAAAGGATGCACCCATTCTCTATTCACCTTGAATAAATGTCTCTCCTGAGACAGAAGATTTGTGTTTTAATGGTCGCCATGCTTATTTTTGGAAAGGATATTATTATCCACCCATTCTGTTGCCGAGATATGACCATTTCTGACAAATGAACTGTTCTTGTCATAAAAATTACCTCACATGGAAAGAAATATAAAACTCGGAAAAATCTTTCAACTTTTGTGACAGAACGCTACGGAGGTGGTCACGTGACCGCCAATATCACGTGATTCGCGCATGCGCAGAACGGTGGTTGATGTGCATTAAAATCAGAGAGGATTAATTTAAAATATAATCAACATTAAAACCAAATATTTTTTCTTGTATGGAAAGTTATTCAATTAGTTTGCGAACTTTTTGATCACCACTCGTAAATATTGCTACAGATTAGAAAATTTAAATTCAGATTTCCTTTTACTAAAAGATGCGTTTATATGTAGCAAAGAACTTTATTTCGTCCAAAAAACAACTTGGTACTCCTCATTAGAAAAATTACTAAAAATTCTTGATATCCCGAACATAATGTCCTATACTAAGAGTAGTTTTATGAATTCATTAAAACAATCCATGAATAAAAAATACTCACTTGATTGGCAACACTCAAATGAAACACTAAAAGAGGGCCCACTTGTTACTTATTTATTTCTGAAGACTGGAAAAATATCTAATTTTATTAAAACCTGAATACAGAAAACCAATTTGCAGATTACGTTTATCAGCACAGACTTTTCATTAATCATCATGGTAATTTCTTTTGAAAATAATGTTTTTCTCATGACGTTTCGTCCGTTTAAAAAAAAAGAGGCCCATGGGCCACATCGCTCACCTAAGCATATTGGCTCCTGGCCTCGTTGTGGCCTGGCCCTACACCTGGGGGCTATCATTTGAACCAGTATGACTTTGTACTACCTGAGGATGCCTCCATATCAATATGATTAAACATTTGCTTTTCTGTTCTTGGGAAAAAAAATCCTGAATATTTTAGGTTTAACTTTGATCCGGTCATGACTTGAACAAACTTGAATCAACACTACCTGAGGATGCTTCCATAAAGACATGACAAATCATGACTCTGTGGTTCTTAAAAAGAAGAGTTTTTAAAAAAATTCCGATGTATTCGATCATTCCTATGTAAAAATTTAATCGTCAAGTGTGGCCACGCCCTACATCCGGGGTCATGCTTTGAACAAACTTGAATCTACACTACCTGCGGATGTTTTTACATAAATTAAATCTTTCCTGGCCCAGTGGGTCTGGAGAAAATGATTCTTCAAGTTTTTTCCTATATATTCCTATATAAAACTTTGATCGTCAGTTGTAGTTCCGTCTTACCCCCTAGGGTCATGATTTGAACAATTTGAATCTACACTACCTGAGGATGTTTCCATATAAGTTTTATCTTTCCTGGCCAAGTTATTCTTGAGAAGAAAATTTTTTAGATATTTTTCCTATATATTCCTATGTAAAACTTTGATCGTCAGTTGCTGCCCTGCCCTACCCCCGGGGGTCATGATTTGAACAAATTTAATTCTGAACTTCCTGAGGATGTTTCCATGATTATAAGTTTTATCTTCCCTGGACCAGTGGTCCTCCAGAAGAAGATTTTTAAAGATTTTTCCTATATATTCCTATGCAGAACTTTGATCGTCAATTGTGGCCCCGCCCTACCCCTGGGATCATGATTTGAACAAAATTGAATCCACACTCCTTGATAATGTTTTCTTATAAGTTACATCTTTCCTGGCCGAATGGTTCTTGAGAAGAAGATTTTTAAAGATTTTTCTTATATATTTCTAATATGTAAAACTTGATCGTCAATTGTAGCCCCGCCATACACCCCGGGGTCATGATTTAATCAAAAATGAATCTACACTACCTGAGGATGTTTTCATATAAGTTTCATTTTTCCTGGCTCAGTGGTCCTTGAGAAGAATATTTTTAAAGGATGCCATTAATTTTTCACTAATTTATAATTATCTCCCCTTTGAATAGGGTGTGGCCCTTCATTTTATAAACTTGAATTCCCTTTACCCAAGGATACTTTGTGGCAAGTTTGGTTGAAATTGACCCAGTGGTTCTTAAGAAGTCGAAAATGTGAAAAGTTTACAGACAGACGGATCGACAGACAGACAGACGGACACCGGAGAAAAAAACAACCTTTCAGATCTCATTGTTTTACGAAAACAATGTTAGATACCTTCTAAATATCACGTGTTATCAAACATCTTGAAGTCGATTAGGTAAAATGTAGATAAACTTAATCCATTGAATATCGATTCGGAACAGAATAAGAATTCTTTGATTTGGCGTCTTGATAAGAATCCTGTTATTGTGAACATGAGGATATTGGCTTTTGCCTTTTGCTTTTCAAGTGTTTCTTATACTTTCAGTTTGTTTGATGTATCGTACAAGGACTTTTGTATGAATACCTTTTCCCAAAATTACAATATTTCTTGGTTTTCATACACATTTAGTCACTTCTTGCTTAACAGTTTAATATATCATAGGAATTATGAATATTGTGACTGGGCCTCATGGTCTTCATGGACAACATGTAGTTCTACGTGTCGAATGGGATATCAGCAACGAGAGAGAAAGGTGTGCTTCTACAATCAACGTAAAGAATTGACAGACTGTGTGTCCTCAAAGGAAAGCATGGCCCACCTTAAAAAAGCATGTAAAAATTCATGTCTTGAAGGTATGTAACAAACAATCCTTTTCAATGTATAATAATTATCACCAGAGACAGTTAGCTGGGAATGCATTTCAAAACCAAAAGCAGGTTTAAAGTAACGTTCACTATAATGAAATATTTAATTCAATATTGGTTTCAAAGGCATTTCGAAAAGCAAAACCAGGTTTTAACTAATATTGAAATAACGTTCGCTAGTAAAATAATATTGATGATATAAAATAGTGATTCAAGATTCATTTCTTCATTTCAAAAGCAAAAAAAAAAAAAAAAAAAAAAAAAATCAGGTTGCAAGCATATCACATTTCCATTATTTAAATTATATTTACATTTCATATTTAAAAAAAATAATTTTATTATGTTTTTCTATCAACAGTGGATGTAACACCGAAATAATTTTTTTCTTCTTCATGAATAACCCTCTTCAATAATGAAACTTTGGTGACTATTATTTCAAATTTTCAATGGTAGTTGCAATTGCAATAATGCAGACTGAATTATTTTTTTCGTATTAGTTTTAAAAATAGATATTTAATCACGTTCAAACAGGAAGCTTTCTCGATAAAGAAAATTTCGTTCATCTTGAAGTCGATTAGATGAAATGTATAGATCTAGATAAAATTAATCCATTTCAAAATCGATTTGGAATAGAATCATAGACCTTTGATTTGGCGTCTTCATAAGAATCCTGTTATTGTTTTTTTTCAATAGATATTTAATCACGTTCAAACAGGAAGCTTTCTCGATAAAGAAAATTTCGTTCAAATGCAAAATCTTTGTGAACAACTTGAGTTCCATAAAATGCAAAATAACAAAAGAATTCTGTTCTGTAGTTTACACTTGATAAATGACAAAATGCATGATTTTTTCAAGGGGAAATCAATATCTGTTTTAAATGGAATACTACTATCATACATCAATTTAGATTAGCTTAAGTCTCCAGGTTTTGGAAAAATTTCATTATTATTTTGTAGACATCAACGACTGCTCTAGCACTCAATGTAAGAACGGAGGTATTTGCCATAATAACTGGGACAGTTTTACCTGTACTTGTCAGTCCAGGTACAACGGATCACGGTGTGAATCAGGTAAAGAATGGCTAAAAAACCAAGATTGATTTATAACAGATAAGAAATATGAATTTATTTTTAAGCTTTTCGAGAATCTTTATGAATTTACTAGAAACCTTTTCTTATTTTTCCTAAATATTATAACTAAATGCATGTTTGGATGTAATTAAGGGTTAAAATAAATATCAGTAGTCCACGAACTTTTCGAACAACCCTCGTATGATAAATTTAGTATTGTTGCATTTAGTTACTCTCAAAATAATTAACCTTCATTTATAAAGATTACGGCAAGTGTGACAGCAAGCCATGTTTAAATAATGGAACTTGCATCAATATAAGAAATGGGTTTCATTGCGCATGTACCACGTGGTTTACAGGAAGGCAGTGTGAAATTGGTGGGTCCATGTTTTATTTTGCAATTTTTGAAAAGGAAAAAAAAAATCAGTTTCAATAAGAGAAAGTTAAAGAGAAAGGACTTTTCTCTAAATACACTTTATTGTGATAAAATGCGTAGTCTACAAAATATTGTTTCTTTATCTTCAACGTTTGATAATTAGCCTAAAATATTTTTTTATAGAGATATGCAAAGAGGCACGTAAGTAGCACAATGTCCTTAACGGAGAAAGCGCTAAAAGACCAACCTTTGTGTCGGGTCTATTAAATATAGAAACAAAGTCAAAGAATGAATTTTATCTAAAGTACTAAAATGACTAACGATACGAATATTTAGAAATGAAACCTTAAATTATCTCATATTATATTACAGCCAAAGTGGTAAACTGTCCAGATGGTATCCAAGAAGTTAATTTTACCAAAGTAAAGGAAAATATTACCCGAACATCCTTTGTATTTTTACCTGAAATATATGGACAAAGCTGTGATGGACGAAACATAACAATTCTATTTCCGATAAAAGAGTACGTTTGGAGTGCAGAGATTGGAGAGCTTGTACTGACAGTGAACGATACAAGGGGACAGTCTCTTCCATGTATTGTACAATTCAGGACGAATGGTTGGTAAAAATAAACTAATTTGTTTCTATATAGATAAATCCACATACAGTCCTTAAACGCTCAACGTATGCTGATATGTGATTTAATTTTATTTATCTTAAAACAAAATCTTCCTTTTGTGTCAATGAGAGCAAACTTTACATTATCTCTATTACACTTGAAGGAAGCAATCAAAAAGTATTTTTCTACGTTTGTCAATTAATAGTCATCGTTCAGATATCTTGTTTGAATTTTGACAAAAATATAAGATGTTATTTATTTAACTGTTGTAAAATAGTTTGATTTTTTTTTATCTCTACTGGTCAGAGACCAGAAGAGCTTATGCGATAGTAAGGTGTCCGTCGTCCGTCCGTCTGTCTGTCCGTCTGTCTGTAAACAATTTTTCAAAACGCTACTCCTCCTACAGTTTCGGTCTGATTTCAATCTAACTTGGCACACAAGTAGACTACACTAAGATAATAGTGCATTGGTTTTTTATTTCGATGAACAGTGTTGCCATGGTTACTAAAAATAGAATTTTCTGTGAAATTCCTTTAAAACGCTACTCCTCCTACAGTTTTGGTCTGATTTAATATTACTTGGCACACAAGTAGACTTCACTAAAATACATTAAATAGTGCATCGGTTTTTGATTTCGATGAACGGTGTTGCCATGGTTACTAAAAATAGAATTTTCTGTGAAATTCCTTTAAAACGCTACTCCTCCTACAATTTTGGTCTGATTTCAATATTACTTGGCACAAAAGTAGACTACATTGAGATACATAAAATAGTGCATCGGTTTTTGATTTCGATGATAGTGTTGCCATTGTTACTAAAATAGAAATGTCTGTGAAATTCCTTTCAAACGCTTCTACTTCTACAGTGTTGGTCTGATGTCAATGGCTTCTTTTCTCATCCTTTGTTATATTAGTACAAACCAGTAGAGCTACTGTCTCGACAGAGACTTCTGGTTTAAATTGAAAGTTTAAATCAAGGAAATAGTTTATATCTTTCAACAATATTCTTTTCGAGTTTATTTCTTCAGATTCTCCTACAAAGCCCATATCAAAATTTATCCAAAAGAGAAACTTGCAAGATTTAAAAAAAATCTTTCAACTGAGTAATAATAATAAAACAAGAGGCCCATGGGCCACATCGCTCACCTGAGCACTAAGGGTAGGAAAAGTAGAAAATGGCTGTTTATTGTAAAGTTTAAATCCAAAAGTAGTCCCATGACCAATCATGGATTAACTATTTTTTAGAAAATGATTTTTAAAGAATTTTCCTACATATATATCTTTAAAAACTTAAGTCGGCCATTTTAGCCCCGCCCTACCCCCGGGGGTCATGATTTGAACAAATTTTAATCTACACTACTTGAGCATGCTTCCAAATAAATATGACAAATTATGGCTTTGTCATTCTTGAGAAGAACATTTTTAAAGAATTTTCCTATATATTTCTATGTAAAACTTTGGTTGGCCATTTTTGCCCTGCCCTACCCCCGGGGGTCATGATTTGAACAAATTTGAATCTACACTACCTGAGCATGCTTCCATATAAATATGATAAATTATGGCTTTGTCATTCATGAGAAGATTTTCAAAGAATTTTCCTATATATTTCTATGTAAAACTTTGGTCGGCCATTCTGGCCCCGCCCTACCCCCGGGGGTCATAATTTGAACAAACTTGAATCTACACTACCTGAGCATGCTTCCATATAAATATGATAAATTATGGCTTTGTCATTCTTGAGAAGAAGATTTTTAAAGAATTATCTATATATTTCTATGTAAAACTTTGGTCGGCCATTTTTTGCCCTGCCCTACCCCCGGGGGTCATGATTTGAACAAATTTGAATCTACACTACCTGAGCATGCTTCCATATAAATATGATAAATTATGGCTTTGTCATTCTTGAGAAGAAAATGTTTAAAGAATTTTCCTATATATTTCTATGTAAAACTTTGGTCGGCCATTTTGGCCCCGCCCTACCCCCGGGGGTCATAATTTGAACAAACTTGAATCTACACTACCTGAGCATGCTTCCATATAAATAAGATGAATTATGGCTTTGTCATTCTTGAGAAGAAGATTTTAAAAGAATTTTCCTATACATTTCTATGTAAAACTTTGGTCGGCCATGTTGGCCCCGCCCTACCCCCGGGGGTCATAATTTAAACAAACAGGAATCTACACTACTTTAGCATGCTTCCATATAAATATGATGAATTATGGCTTTGCCATTCTTGAGAAGAAGATGTTTAAAGAATTTTCCTATATATTTCTATGTAAAACTTTGGTCGGCCATTTTGGCCCCGCCCTACCCCCGGGGGTCATGATTTGAACAAATTTGAATCTACACTACCTGAGCATGCTTCCATATAAATAAGATGAATTATGGCTTTGTCATTCTTGAGAAGAAGATTTTTAAAGAATTTTCCTATATATTTCTATGTAAAACTTTTGTCCGCCATTTTGGCCCCGCCCTACCCCCGGGGGTCATGATTTGAACAAATTTGAATCTACACTACCTAAGCATGCTTCCATATAAATATGATGAACTATGGCTTTGTCATTCTTAAGAAGAAGATTTTAAAAGAATTTTCCTATATATTTCTATGTAAAACTTTGGTCGGCCATTTTAGCCCCGCCCTACCCCTGGGGGTCATGATTTGAACAAACTTGAATCTACACTACCTGAGCATGCTTCCATATAAATATGATGAATTATGGCTTTGTCATTCTTGAGAAGAAGATTTTTAAAGAATTTTCCTATATATTTCTATGTAAAACTTTGGTCGGCCATATTGGCCCCGCCCTGCCCCTGGGGGTCATGATTTGTACAAACTTGAATCTACACTACCTGAGCATGCTTCCATATAAATATGATGAATTATGGCTTTGTCATTTTAGAGAAGAAGATTTTTAAAGAATTTTCCTTTATATTTTTATGTAAAACTTTGGTCGGCCATTTTGGCCCGGCCCTACCCCCAGGGGTCATGATTTGAACAAACTTGAATCTACACTACCTGAGCATGCTTCCATATAAAAATGATGAATTATGGCTTTGTCATTCTTGAGAAGAAGATTTTTAAAGAATTTTCCTTTATATTTCTATGTAAAACTTTGGTCGGCCATTTTGGTCCCGCCCTACCCCCGGGGGTCATGATTTGAACAAACTTGAATCTACACTACCTGAGGATGTTTCCCTATAAGTTTCATCTTTCCTGGCACAGTGGTTCTTGAGAAGAAGATTTTTAAAATATGCCACCAAATTTTCATTAATTCCTAATTATCTCCCCTTGAATGAGGGCATGGCCCTTCATTTGAACAAACTTGAATCCCCTTCACCCAAGGATACTTTGTTGCAAGTTTGGTTGAAATTGGCCCAGCGGTTCTTGAGAAGAAGTCGAAAATGTGAAAAGTTTACAGACAGACAGACGGACGGACAGACAGACAGACAGACAGACGGACAGACGGACGCCGGACAAAATGTGATCAGAAAAGCTCACTTGAGCCTTCGGCTCAGGTGAGCTAAAAATTAATAAATTTAAATAAATTAGTTTTCTTGGACGTAACTCCACGATGAAGACAAACATGCCCAATCATTCGTCTTTTTAAAAGAATTGAACATGTGATTTTTCCCAAACTACTTGTTAGTGTAATGAACTTTTTTTTAGCAGAAAGTTCTAAATGATGCACACTGTGTGATTTTCAAAAACTAGATTGTGTAAAACTAGTGTAAAACCTTTTTTCTTGTGAATTCTACTTTGAAAGAAATCATTCAAAGTAAGAAATAATAAAGTTACTAAGAACCCTTGAAAAACGAATTTGATATATATATTTGATATTTTCACAGATTTCATTCAACCGACGTTCGTTAATTGTCCTTCTGATGGCATAAAGAAGTATGGTTCCAATGGCGGATCCATAATATTTTGGACACCAATAGTTGCTGAAGATAATTCTGGGAATGTAACTGTCACAAGTAACAAAGCCAGTGGAGAATTTATGCCATTTGGAACACATGTGGTTCAATACAATGCTACTGACCCATCTGGAAACACTGATATCTGTCAGTTTACTGTTAAAGTAAATGAAATGCCAAGTAAGAGCTCTTAGATATTAAGTGTAAATTTTGTAATAACTTCATAGATTATTAAATATGAAAGTAGATTCGATTTTTGCACTTCTCTGAAATAACTCCATGAGCATTAAATCATACATGTACTTTTAAGTTCAAGTCATTTTTTTGTAATCTGCTAGGAGCACAATGTGAAAGCCCGCCCCAAGTTCTACACGGAATAGTCTCATGCCAAGACAGAGAGACTTTAACATGTGGCATCGACTATTGCTATTCAGGATACATACAGACAAATAATCAGAGTTACACTTGCCAGAAAGGAGAATGGACACCAAAGTTCTCTTCTGAATTTCAAACATCTAGCTGTTTCAGTAAGTATTATATGCAAGTCTACACTTAACAAATGTATCAAGCATGAGCGGTTCTTTAATTCTGAATAAAAACTGGACTGGATTTTCCCTGACTGATTATAGAGCCAGAACCTACTAAATTAGACAGAAACTACACATTCAGTTTTACGTGTCCTAAACTTAAGTTTAGTCCACTGGACCTAAGGGACTGTATACGGCAATCAGGGCTTTGTCCATCAGGGGATATTTTACTGTGTGACAAGCCTTTTCAGAGAATTGAGGGAAAACATCTCTCAGCTGAAGATCTTCAGATATGGACAACATTGGAGGGAATACTACCGTGCGTGGTTTGAATACTTTTCTTTCTATTTCATGCTTCTCTCCTTCTTTTTAAGGGTTATTTCTGCCCCACCCCCCTTTTTAAAAAAATAATATTAGTATAATTGTTATTTTAGATTTTTAGAGATATTGTTTTGCTTTAAATACTTTATTATTCCATGTATTCACATAAAATTATTGTGAACGTTAAAGGGTCGTAGTCTAGTCAGTAGTCAAAAGTATAAATTATAAATACAAACGAAAAACAAATACTTTTTCAAATTTCTAAATCTACATTGTAACTTTACACCTAGGTATCAGGCAAATAAAAATGAGCTCATTACAAGAATGGATGTCCATGGGATTTCTATAGCCAACTATTTTACTAATGGAACATTTAAAGACGTTTGCCACCAACTTAAATGCCAGTTTGAAAAAATTAAAGCTGATCCAATACGAGAGATTTGTGGTATTGGGACAGTTGAATACTTAATGGAAGGAAGAAAAACGTGCAGTTAGTTCGAATATTTTATATTTAAGAAAAATTTACGAATATTTATGAAATCATCTTGTTCATTAACCTCTATTTACACATGCAGGTGTGTATTCTTTTGCAAATTTGCTTATTAAGCACAGTATTATAATATCAAAAAGGGAAACGTAATTATCATTATTCAATCAATTTGTTGCAGATATATTTCAAAACATTTTTTAAAATGTGTATGGAATTTGTTGACAGGGAAATGTGGTCCAGGTTGGTATTACGACAATGGCGATTGTGTCCAGTGCTCTGAAGGTTTTTATCAGGACCAGTTTGGACAACAAACGTGTGAAAAATGTCCTGAAGGAACTACATCAGTGATAGGAACTTTGATAAAATCAGAATGTAATTAGTTTATAAAACTAGAAAAGAAACTCGTTGCGAGCAACGAGAGGTCTTCCGTCCAATTCTGGAAAAAAACCCACAAAATCGAGTTGGAAAGTGATATAACTTTTTATGGAAACAAAGGGGATTGAACCTGCGCCAGCGCAAAAATCCAAAGCGCTGACTATTACGCTATTGAGACCACAGCTTTAAATATACATTTATATACTTCTGCAACAGTACATCTGTCTTAGAATAATGAAAGGCGGGTCACTATTCATAATTTTGCGTCAAACGAATCGAAGAAATCTTCGGGCCTTTTTCTTTGGAATGTACCATTAAATAGGTGTGATAGTTTCAATGGAAATAAAAAAAGAATGTTCGTATAGCTTAAATTTCATTGTTAAGAAAGTATATTTAACGCTTTTACACATTCTATATCGTATATAGATAACTAGCACTAAATCAGTGAAACTGCTATAATTTTCAACTGATTTTTATTTTGCTGTTTATCCCTATAATGAAATATCCCGATTACTTAAACTTTCATGTACAGCTTGAATTGCTTCGCCGAAAAGCGTGTCGCCCTACGACGGTCAAGGAATCAGACACCAATTATGTTTAATAACTTGAATGAGATCATTGAGACAAGAATGATGATATAAACTCCATTAAATTATCTTTTTAGATATGCTTTTCTTATTTCTGTCTTTTGTATTTGTTTAATTCAAGTGTGCATTAGGAAAACGGTGGTTACGTTTAATACTTACTATATATGTTTCTTAAAAACTATTATAACTATGGTTTAAAATCTGTTTTTCCGCAAAATGTAAAAGATACTAGGTATCGTATTTCATTTGCACATTTAGTCTTTTCTTTTTCTACTTTGAGAACCAGCCAAAACGAATTATAGAAGACGTTTGAGACCACCATGGATTAAAACATAGTTTGACACACATTTGCAACGTAACAACGACGTGACAATCCTAGTATTCCTTTACACTTCTTTTATCCTTATTTTACTTTCGTTCAAGCAAACGCTCTGCTGCCTCCGTAAACCCCTATTGCGAAATGTCGGAGTTGACAGAGACAGCCGCCATTTTGGACCCACTTCAGATTTTTGAATGTTAATTTCTAGAGTTTGGATTTATCAATATTCAAACAAATTATATAGTAAGCATTATAAGAAGGGTCTCTAATAAAATTCTAAAAATCAATGAAAAATATTGAAAAACAAAAAAGTTAGAAAATACGGACTTTTTCATTTCGCTTCCGGTAGCAACCGGAAGTACCGACGACACACGAAAAGGTGATTCGTCACATCTAAAAGTCATCATCTATAATCTCTTACAAGTCTCCAGTTAATATCTTAAACCATTTTCGAAAAAAAGGGGGGACAAAATTGCATTTTAAAATCAGAAAAGTGTCAATAACTTGGAACTAAAGGTGAGTATTCCAAATATTCCTATCCATGCCACAACTTCATATAATGACGCATAATTCCTGAAATTTTCACAGAAAACTACTGAATAGTTTTCGAGAAATCGCGTGCACAAAATTTTGGGGAAAAAAAAAATAATAATAATAATAACTAGATGCGTTCTTGTTGCTGGTGCAACAAGCAGGTCTTCCGACCGGTTTTCGTCAGAATTCTATGCTGCGTCGTCCCATAAAATTTCAGAATGTATTTTTTTCGTTTACGTTCCTTTACAGCAGCCTCTCAACATATCTCATGATTATTACAGATATTCTTCAAAATATCTCAAAAATAGCTTTTAAAAATCGGGAAAATATTCCATACATGTTAAAAAAGAGAGAGAAGTCATTTGCAACTGAAAAAAGACAGAAACAAAGAAAAAAAATTTCAACGCCTACAGCGGGATTCGAACCCCCGACAGTGGGATAAAGTTTGGTTTGGTCATATCTTTTCAATATATGCACGCATCAAGATATTGAACACATATTTAGAATTCTCTTAAGACACTCTATAAACCCTGTAAATCCTAAAGAAAAATATTGAAAATCAAAAAAGTTGAAAAATTGGACTTTTTGAATTCACTTCCGTTTGCGACCGGAAGTGCAGACGACGAAAAATAAAGGTCGTTCCCCATAATGGAGTTCAATGTTCTATCACCTCAGTGAGTTTCATGTTCATATCTTCAGCCGTTCTCGAGAAAACTGCTGGACAAAATGCCTTTTAAAAAATACAAAAATCCCCAAAAATCGCGAACGGAAGTAAATTTTGAAAAAATGAAAAATACGTCTGGAGATATTCTCATGATGCATCTTCCCTGTGAAAATCGTTGATATCTGTCCACTCATAGCTGAGATATCGGCTGTACTATGAAAAAAGAATAATAATAATAATAATAATAATAATAAAAAACAGAAGGAAAACAATAAGGTCTTCCGAAGGAAGTCGGAAGACCTTAATAAGAATAATAAGAAACAGTAGAATCACTAGAAGGTCTTCCGTGAAGACGGAAGACCTTAATTATATATTTTGTTATTTCAAGTACATATTCTTTCCACATTTTTCATGTTAATTGATTTATTAGCTCACCTGGGCTGAAGGCTCAAGTGAGCTTTTCTGATCAAAATTTGTCCGTCGTCTGTCGTTGACGTCGTTGTCGTCGTCGGCGTAAACTTTTCACATTTTCATCTTCTTCTCAAGAACCACTGGGCCAATTTCAACCAAACTTGGCACAAAGTATCCTTGGGTAAAGGGAATTCAAGTTTGTTCAAATGAAGGGCCACACCCTTTTCCAAGGGGAGATAATCATGAATTTGTTAAAAATTAATGGCATTTTAAAAAAATCTTCTTCTCCAGAACCGCTGGGCCAGGAAAGATGAAACTCATGTGGAAGCATCCTCAGGTAGTGTTGATTCAAGTTTGTTCAAATCATGACCCCCGGGGCAAGGGTGGGGCCAAAATGGCCGACCCAAGTTTTACATAGGAATATATAGCAAAAATCTTTAAAAATCCTTCTCAAGAACCACTGGGCCAGGAAAGATGAAACTCATGTGGAATCATCCTCAGGTAGTGCAGATTCAAGTTTGTTCAAATCATGACCCTTGGGGCTAGGGTGGGGCCAAAATGGCCGACCCAAGTTTTACATAGGGATATATAGGGAAACCTTTTAAAATCATCTTTTTTAAGTACTTCAAAGCTATGATTAGTGACTGATATATATATGGAATCATCCTCAGGTAGTGCAGATTCTAGTTTGTTCAAATGATGAACGCCTGGAGGGGGGGGGGGGGGTAAATTCAAGCCCGATGTGCTCAGGTGAGCGCTGTGGCCCCTGGGCCTCTTGTTTATTTTCGTAACAATTCGCTCTTTAAGAGACACTTAAAATAAAAAGCAAATCCTTAATGACAATCTTTATTATCAAGGTTATATAGAAGTGATTGTGGAAAAGCAGGCATCCTCTTCTTCCTTCAACACATTGGCTCTGATAGGGATAGCCATATCTGGTTTATTGTTGTTGGTCTTTGTTATTTTGGTTGTATTGGTCAATAAATGGAGAATGTCTGCGAACAAAAAGAATTCAGATGATAATACAAGAAGAAATCAAGACTCTCACACTGGTTGTAGCGAACCACAATCTGAAGTCTATGATGAAATAAAGGATGATGCGGTAGGTACATGTGCAATTAAATAATCGTTGATTTTACACTTTAACGAGCTATTTTTTTAATAAGACACTTTTTATCTGAAATGTAGGTGCTTGAGGGATATGTAATATACAAGCCAGGTGATACAATATCATGTGGTGTTTATGAAACTCTACCAGGAAGAGAGCGTGTCGAAAACCCTTACACGAGAATAAGTTGGAGAAATTACTGATTTGTAAGGAGAATTGGAAAAATTACTGATTCGTAATAAACAACTGAGATCATTAAATTTGCATTGTAGTTAAAAAATCAAAACATATATATGTACATGTACATTGTGTAAGTTAAGTACCGGTGATTCTCATTTCCCCGTTCTATATAATTTACCTATAATAACAGAACATCTTTTTCCCCTCTCTTGAAATCCATATTTTTAATAAGCTTAAGATGGCTATTTTGCACATTGAAAACACTGAATAATTTGTAAACGTAAACACACACCTTTCATTTTCTATGCAATAACTACAGCCTTTTTAAAAAAATTCTTCTACTGAAAGACGAATATGTGATTTAACAGGCAAGTGAACATTATCCAGTCAGCTTGTATAAATCAAATATTTCGTAATGAGTTTTGTGTAATATAGTTTTCATATCTTTGACTATGGCATGAAAATTTTGTAATTTATTTGTTAATATTTATTATTGTTAATTAATTCATAACATGTGTTAATGCAATAAACAAAAAATATTTACTAAAATTTAAAATTTGGATTAATCTGCGAAAAGGGAGGTTTTCAAATGCACCTTTTGAAAGACCAAGGGCAGTGCAAACTAGGCCAACAAGATCAACCAAAGAAAACAACAGATATTGATTTGGGTTATTTTTTTTTTTCAAAACATCAAAAGCCGAAAAAAGACAGGGACACTTCATGAATGTTGTACTTACAGAGTGATCATACATGTATGGGATTCATACATGTTTCATTCGCACAGCATGTTGCAGATATTATACAAAACACTTGCTGCAAAATCTTTTGTTTCTAAATAACAAGCTTAAATAGACCCATCTATAATCAGCTTGAAAAAAAGATACTTTTATTAGAACACTTAAGTTTTTTTATATTACAATAAACAAAGAAGATTGTGTGTGTAAGTTTTATATTCAAACTTTGATTCTGAAGCACTTGTTCTATATATCAAACACAAGCAATTGCGCCCTGTTTAAAGCAGACTCATTCTTGTATTCACACAAAGCAAAATTCATTCAAAAAAGTCTAAACGAAAAGAGAAAGTGTATTAAATCATTATTTTTCGAAAGATGCAGTCTCATAACTGCAATGGTGTGTGCAAACATATTGAGTAACGCGCGTTAGCGCGCGCATTATGAAAATTTGTTTGCGCACACCATTGCAGTTATGAGACTGCATCTTAAAAAATGATAATTCAATGCTTATTTTACATTTTTTATCCCCTGTATTTTCCGCAAGTTTGATTTTTTTTTAATTTAAAACTCCTGCCTTATCCTTCATGTAAGTTGCAATTGATAGGTCAACCTTTCAAACAGCTTAATCCGAAAGGAAAATAGTGCACAATGATAACAGGTAACAAAAATCAAAGTTTTAAAATGATAAACTATATTTTTGCAACAAAGAAATACAAATGAATCGTATAACAGACATAAATTTTTCACTTTGTTTAAACAGTAACGGCGTAGTCCCTATATTCATACGCCAGACAGACTTTGGTGATTAGGTCTTGTGTGTTATGTGTATTTATCACTTAACATAGTATGTATTTATTTTTATCACTTGTAATTTTATAATGCTTTTTATTAAGGTCAAACAAAGTAAATGTCAGAATGTATGTATGTATTGTCTCATACGATTTGGTTTTGTTTCTACTTCTATTTCAATGCACTCGATCCGTAATTTGAAAATAATCTATTACATGTATTTGTAAATTATGATTAATCTTCTTTTCAAAAAGTTAAAATTAAGAGAATATGAACCCACCAAAATTGTGTATGATCACAAGTATTTTTTTGTGGTTTAATTTATTAAGGGTGTGATACATGTATTGACGTCACAATAGCCGTATCAGCCCTGCAGGGCTGATATGGATTTGCGGGGCTGATAAAGGTTATTAATTCTGCAAATCCATATCAGCCCTGTAGGGCTGATACGGCTATTGTGAAGTCAGCCATATCGCATATGCAGAAAACCTGTATTTATTACTAAGTGTGAAATAAAATAAAATATACTTCACATTGAAGCTAATACGTTTCTTTTAACAAGAAAAAAATCATGATAAATGAGATGCACATTTGGTTTACATGTACATACCTCTATGGACGTGAGAATAAGGTTTTTTTTTAAACCTGACACCAATGACAGAGAACTTCAGAAAATTATTAAGACAAATAGGATTAGATGTGCAAGACTACGACAAACATCCCGGATTTATTGCAGCCAGGAGGACCGGGCTGCCCTATACATATAAGTTCAAGTATTGGTGTATGGGGATATGGGTGGAAGTAGTTATTCAGAATTGTTATCTAAACATTGAAAAGTTTGTTAATCAGAATGTTCTTTCCCTTTATAAATTACAAGATACATAATATATTTACTTCCATAAAGTGAATCTGTAAAAATATACATGTTTTTCATATTTAATATGTAAAGTTGCATTTACCTTCGAAAAAAAGACAGGTCCCTTATTTTAGAATATCGAATTTTTCTTCTCGCATAAAAACATACTATGCACAGTTTGTGTTTTATATTCTAAAATTGTAAATTAAATACATTTTTGTAAATAGTTGATGCATGTGTCTAACTTCAATTTATATTTCATGCAGCCAACATTTACTTGAGGAATTGATCAACTTTAAAATGGTATCGTTTTTGTTTGATTTTTATCCGACTATAAGTTTTCAAAATATTCGCGACAATTACAAGCATGCCTTTTCACATATATCGAAGCGGTTTGATGATCAAGATTCATTTCCATTATTTACTTTATATATTTCCCGGGCGACAATTGATGAAAACATCAATGTTTTCTTGTTGCTACTGTTATAGCCAGTCTAGGTCTGTTGACTTGCCAATTCAAACAGATGAAGGAGGATAACAGATGGCGTCGAAGGAAAACTTCAACAAATAAAAAACATGACTAAGAGAACAGTTACAGACACATTAGACCCTTGCACAGTGGTTTCGAATGAGATGTGCTCTACGCTTTTGTGTTCATTGTATTTTGACTCTGTAAATAGCTGTAATTTCTTAAAGAAAGACTAATTCTTGACCAAATTATTCGATGTTAACCTGGTTTGGGTCAGTTTACGCTTTATAATCCGCGAAATTCCTTATAATTTAATTTTAAAATAATTATACAACTGTGGGTGTGAAATTGTGTTGGCTGTTATGAGTTCAAATTTGCCGCTCAATAATACATCCCTAGTAACGGAAGTGAATGAAACAAGGGGAGGTAATAACTGATACACAGATCTAGCAGCCATGATGTTTGTTTACACGAGGTAAGATCGAGCTACTGTTTGAAGTTAAAGGTACATTTATTAAATATGGAATTTCCCATGAATCCCAAGGACTGGAAATGAGTGGATTGTATGGATACAGATGATTCAGCTGGTTGTCAAGGGGGTGTGTCCCCATACCAAACCAGGTTATTAAGAAATAATTTGCGTTCCTTTTTGGAAATCAACCAATGAGAGACTAGAATACCAACAAAATTAAATCATATGTAAATGATTCTTTTTACTTATATCCTTAGTTATTTGTATGTTTGGTAGTAAAATAATTTTTAATTTACTTTTGATAAAGGTGTAGAAGTGTCTTACGTAATTAGTTTAGTTTTTTAATTTGTGTACTAATAACTTTGCGCAATAATTTAATAAAATAGTTCGGTTCCAGCCATCTTGTGTTCAACACTTTTTTTTATACATATGTAGCTATACAACAGTAAATGATTGTCCAATACTGAAAGTAGAAAATTCAGAAATAAAACCCCATCTCTGCGCAGAAAAACTTGCGCTATAAATTGCACAACATTTGCATAAAGGGAACTGTAGCATTTTAGTCAAAGTCTTGTATGTATAAAATCATAACGCTACACTTTCAGCAGCTACAAGAACCAATTTTGAAAAGATGATTTAGATCAACGGGCATAAATTCAATTGACGATTAGTAAAGTTAATATATAATTATAACAAGAAAACATTGATGTAACCATCAATTGTCGCCCGGGAAATATATAAAGTAAACAATGAAAATGAGTCTTGATCATCAAACCGCTTCGATAATTGTGAAAAGGTATGCGTCTAATTGATGAAAACGATAGTCGCGAATATTTTGAAAACTTATAGTCGGGAAAAAATCAAACAAAAACGATACCATTTTAAACTTGATCAATTCCTCAAGTAAATGTTGGCTGCATAAAATATAAATTGAAGTTAGACACATGCATCACCTTTATTTAAAAATGTATTAATTTTCAATTTTAGAATATTAAACACGAACTGTGCAGAGTACGTTTTTATCCGAGAAGTAAAATTCGATATTCTAAAAAAAGGGAGCTTTCGTTTTTTCGATAGTACATGTAAATGATCTAAGCAACTTTACATATTAAACATGAAAAACATATACATTTTTACAGATTCACTTTATAGAAGTAAATTTATTATGTATCTCGTAATTTATAAAGGGAAAGAACATTCTGATTAACAATCTTTTCAATGTTTAGAAAACCTTTAATTCTAAATAACTACTTCCACCTCAATCCCCATACACCAACACTTAAACTTATATGTATATGTAAATGTACCTCTGACGACTTTATAGACATCGTATATACTTTATGTTCCTCATGTACCATGTTGTATGGTTTGAGAGAATAAACTGAATCTGATTCTGATTCTAGAGCAGCCCGGTCCTCCGGGCTGCAATAATACTGAATCTTACCTGGTTTAGATGACTGATTTATCTGTATGAATTTAATGTAAAGAAAAATGACGAAGAAAATGTTTTCTAGTGCATTCCCAAGTGTGCCAAAAAAAAAAAAAAATACAGACATGCATCGTTGTAAAATCATTAAAACGGGACAACAGAACCGAAACTCTGCATGAGTAAATATTATACATCACTCGGAGGTTCTTATCAGCCTGTCGCTTTATAACGATTTACCTACATGACACAGGTGAAAAAAAAATTAACAAGTGCATTTACTTTAAACAGGAAGTTAATCTATATTTAGAAAACATGGAAACGGGTTCTGAAAGGAATTATTTGTTAGTTGCTGCCTTAGATTTTGGTACTACTTACAGTGGTTATGCTTATTCTTTTCGGAATAATCCAAAGGAAATATACTCCCCGGGGGTGTGGAATGCAGGTGATGGAGGTCTGGCGTCTTTAAGAACACCAACCTGCTTACTTCTCAACCCCGACAGATCATTTAATGACTTTGGGTTCAACGCAGAAAATAAATATGCTGACTTGTGTGCAGATTTTAAACATCATGAGTTTTACTTTTTTGAAAAATTTAAGATGGAATTGTACCATAAGGTAAGAAACGTAACAAACGTTTACCACAAAACTTCTGTTTGATTGAACTGTTACTGAACAAAACTTAATGAAATATGGAAGGTTAGATTTCATCTATATTTATTCAATCCAACATCATAATGTATATTATGTAGATAATTATTGATTTTCAACTAAACTTACGGTAGCTAATTATGCGTTTCGTTTGATGATTTTAGACCATGCGGAGGGATGCAGTGTTGAAAGATATATCTGGGAAAAATATGCCTGCACTCCTTGTATTTTCATTAGCCGTACGATACTTGAAGGAGGAACTTTTATCAACTTTAACAAAGAGAGGAACGGGAGTCAGTCTTGGGGATATCAAATTTATTCTAACTGTCCCTGCCATATGGAGTGATTCATCGAAACAGTTTATGAGAGAGGCTGCTGTAATGGTATATATATCTAGTTAATGTCCAAAAATCCAAGAAACTACCATTAAACCACTTTCAAAGTCACCATTACTTAAAACGTACCATCACACAGTCGATAAAATTAAGTGCTTATGGGTAAAATAGTATCCCGTCACAGAACTAGTTGCGAAGAGCTGCAGTAAATTTAATTTTCTTTTTCTAATTATTAACCTACCCCCGTTCACACATAGACGCCACTTCTACTACGATCAAAGCATGGCCAAAAGCGTGACCGATCGGGACAAATCGCAAGTGAAACGTCGTGGAGTCGTCATAAGCGTAGTATGATCGCAGTAGGGTCTTCATGATCGGAGAGCTATACGCTCTCACCATGCTTATTTTGAACATGTTCAAAACAAGCGTAGCGGGATCGTGGCCAACAAGAATCGGGGTTAAGTCGTACAAAGAGCGTAGTAGAAGCGCCGTAATCGTACAAGCAGCGCGGAAGCATCGTAGGGATATCTTCTTTATCGCAGTAAAAGCGCCGTAACAGCGTAGGAACTTACCAAGTACGCTCATACAACGTTCCCTATACGTTCGTACTACGTTCTCACTGCGATCTCTCTACGTTCCTGAAGATCCTAGTATGAAGACCAACAATGACCTTACGCCGATCATATCACGACCTATCAGACAGGAGTTTGTTCTAATAGCTCTGATCTTTCACTATCATCGTCTGTAAACTACATGTAAAGGGTAACACTATACTTGACGATCATTTGCAGTTGAGACTTTACACATCTTCTTACAGTTATACAATTGAAAATGCCCATAAACTATTTGGTAAAGGCCGCAAAAAAAAAACCACCATTGCGACATCGCGGTACAGTCATCTAGCTCTGTGTAGCGTCGTACTATGGTCTTCAATGTCGTAGTGGCAGCCTAGCGTAAACGCAGTAAACAAGGACGCTTGTCGGCAACAGTGTGCGTAACATCGCAGTAGAAACGTGTTAGCAGCGCGTCTGACTTAAGGACATCGAAGTACGGTCGTAAGGAAGACTATAATTAGCCAAAATTGGTCTATTTAGACGCGGATCGGCTGCGATCTGCCCCGATCCAAAAAAAATTCAGATCATGGCTTGATCGGGATGATCGCTGTAGAGTCGCAGCTCTGTGACAAGATGATTGTAATCTTTTTATGACATCATTCTTAAAACTTTCATGAAGATCCATCGACACATTTACGAGAAATCGCGTGCACAAAATCGATAAGAATATTATAATGAAAAAAGTTGAAAAGAAACAACAGAGAAATACGAAGGTCTTCCGTTGAGACAGAAGACCTTAATTATATTTATATCCAAACCATGAAATTAAGTGTGAAACAACTTTTTGATTTATGTTACCAATTATTCGTTCTGTTATTTGCAGTTTTAATTTATTAGCACGAAAAAGTGCAACTCAACAGATAAAACTCAATTTTATTATTACAAAGAATATATCCTCCAGAGAGAAAGATGGTAAAAGCAGATTGGAATAAAATCTACTTAAAATATACTTTGGATATATTTACGGTTATCTTGTGTCTAAATAATCACCAAGATTTTCTTTATTTCAGGCCGGTTTGCCCAATGAACAATTAATTTTGGCGTTAGAGCCTGAAGTAGCCTCAGTGTATTGCTTAAAAGTTCCTCTTGAGAACATGCCTTTTGGTGAAGTATATAACATGAAAACACCAGGATACCAATATTTACTGGCTGATATCGGAGGTATACATCTATTTTTTAAATCTGCGATCTAGATACATCCATGGTGAATATTAAATATTTTATAATTCTCAAAGATGTGTTATTTCTTTCTGACCCCGCACTTTGGTTTCCGCGCGATTATTTGAGAAGCCTCTGATCTTTTACTATGAAATACCAACTCCCTGCCTAGGACGTAACATAATGAATTCTTTCAAACACTTTCGTTTTCACGCGATATAAAGTCTAAGATTTTGCAATGAATTGTGCACAATGGAAACTACATTCGGCTCCCTTAATTAACTATTAAAAATACATAGTTATGGTGAGCAAAAGTGCCTCATTGATTTTATGTGAAAATGAATAAATTCTTTCCAAAAAATTGTTCTACTCCTAGTTATAAAGTAAGAAAGTGTATAGTTTTGTACAGCAAGGGTACTTTTACAAGAGTTCTAAAACGTGTGGTCCAAGGGGTGTTTCTCAAAGAGAACGCTTTTCCTGTCAGAATTTTGGGTTCATTCTAATCTAATTTTGAAGACAATCAGAGTACACTACGATTCACAATTTTGTATATCGATTTTACTTCAGGTGAATGGTGTTGTCATTGTTTATAGAAAAAATTCTGAGAAATCCTTTCAAAATGCTACTTCTACTAAAATTTTGGTTAGACTTCAATGTAACTTGGCACACAAATAAATTCCATTTAGATACATAATTTAAACTCCTTGCTGCCTGCTGCTAAGTTTTAAATCAAAGTGAATCTTTTCTTTTGCTATGCGTACACACCAGTAGAACTACAGTCTCATCAGCGACGCAAGGTTTAATAACTCTATATAATTAATGACTTTGATGAGGTCTACTGACTATAAGGACCTGGCCAGGTATTGGCTGACCGATACTTGACCAGGTCCGTATAGTCACAAGTAGACCGAATTCAAAAATAATAACCGTTTTATTAAATGATCAGGAATTTTACAACACTTAAGTAATTGTCTTCATCAAATATAAACACTCATAATATAATGCATTTTGCAATTACACATTATATTTATATTTCAACTGCTTAACAACTAGTTGAAAATGGAAACAATATTGTTATATTCCTTCACGAATCTATACGAAAAAAGTCTAAAATCTCTAAAGTTTTTCTGAGCGGGCATAAAAAATAGATGTTGGACCGCTGAGTGAGATGTAAGATCGCTTACGTCACAGAATGGGCGTAGCTTAATCAATCTCATTTGCATTTGTTGGTGTTCAAAGTAACGGTTTTGAGATTACTTCACGAAAGACAGTAAAATATATATGTTGGTAAAAAAAAATGAAAGATATAACAAAACATTTATTGACTAGGGCAAAATATGTTTTGTCGACCCTGAAACCAAACTGTGTACCTTCGGCCTAACGGCCCCAGGCAGACAGTTTGGTTCTTGGATCCGACAAAATGCATCTTGGATCCGACAAAATGCATGTTGTCATCGAACTCGGTCAATAAATGAATATTATTGAACAATTAATACTCAACCATCTACAGTTAAAGAAGTTTAATCTCCTCAGTATTAGCGTCTGCCATGTTTACATTCACAATGACACATATTTTAGAACAGGCAATTTGATTGGTCGAAAATACTGAAAGCAAACCTATAATTGGCCAAAAGAGAAAATCCGAATAAACCTCCTGGATCTTCATGTGAGGTGAACTCACAGAGATATAGCTGCAGATCTGTAGCGTTATGGTTTTACATATTTGTTTTTTACAATAACGCTACAGATCCCGTAATGCAAAAAAGGTTCAATTTACAGCGCAATATTTTTTTGCGCACTTTTGGGGAGAAGTTCTCCACTTACCAGCATCAGTCAATTAACTACCTTTCACTCCCTAATTCTAATTTGAGATACATCTCAGGGAAGGGCGTCTAGACTAATCAGATCTCATGCAACCGAACTTTACTTCGATTGTATATAACTGATGGAAAATGTTTTTTTTTCAACTAAGTATGTACATTTTAAATTTCATAGAATTTCAAATAGACATGGTTAAATATTAGTTTAAATATTAGGTGGCACAGCAGACTTTAGTGTCCATGAAGTCAATCAAGATAGAAGTGTAACGGAGATCTACACGGCAAGTGGCGGAGCCTATGGGGGTCAAGATGTCAATGAACGTTTTCTTGAAATGCTTCTGCATATATTTGGGAAAGAAACGATTGATGTACTGAAATCAAAAGATATGGAAGATTACCTGAGTATCTGCAGAAGTTTTGAAAATAAAAAACGCATAGTTTCTGATGAATATTTGGAAAATTTTAGGCTAAAACTTCCCACTGAAATACTAGATGAGTGCAGTTTGGATATTATACAGGAAAACATTCGCAGTTTCTACAACGAAGACCTTGTATCCATACAGAAAGGAAAATTGAAAATCAGTTCTTCATTAATGAAAATGTTTTTTGACAAATCTCTAACGAAAATAAAGGATCATATTCATGAACTTATATCGCGAAATTCAAATGTGAAAAGTATTTTGTTAGTCGGTGGATACGGGGAGTCAAAGCTTTTACAAAGTGAATTGAAGAAAGGATTCCCAGAGAAAAACCTAGTTATTCCACAAGACTGCAATTTATCAGTAGTGAAAGGAGCAGTTTTGTATGGTTATTATCCTCTTACAATATTCCAACGAAAAATGCGTTTCTCTTATGGCGTTAAGGGTTATGCTCTCTTTGAGAAAGGCAAGCATCCCGAGCATAGAAAAATTAAACTTGCATCTGGCGATGAACACTGTGAAGACGCATTTGATGTGCTTGTACCTAAAAATGCAACTATTCCAACAACTGGATTAACGATTTCAAGGACTTACTGTACTGCTTCATCAACACAGAAATCTATGGATGTTTACATTTACAAAACAGAAGAAGAAAATCCAATTATAGTAGATGGAAAATGTTCATTTTTGAAGCGCATTTCACTTCCTCTTCCAGTATACTCCGGAAGAGAGAGAGTTGTGGAACATAATTTTACATTTGGTTTGACAGAAGTAAAACATCAAGCAAAGATTCTGGAAACTGGTCAATGTTTCTTAAATACCTTTGATTTATTGTAGACATATATACACTAGTATATACATACGAATTTTTCGAAGTTATTGGCGGGGTAATTTAAACCTTTTTTATATGAAGATCCCTGACCGAATCTTACAGAAGATAACTCTTTTCATACAACAGATATCGGATGTAAAGACAATGTCTAAAGTGTTGAAAATCTTTCAAGTCCACAGTTTAACATGGGATCGATTTTAACATCATACAGAGAGACGTAAGTGTAGTCACGAGCACCAGTCTTACAATAAACCTTTAATACACGATGCCTCTTTTGATTCATTAATTTTATGTCAATTATAACAAATATGTCTACATCACATTCGTTACAAAATTTATTCAGTTCCTTTGAAACATTTTGTAATACGTAGCCTACTTTAAAAGGTCAAAGAGAGTAATTTTCTTGATTTCCCGACACCAGATCTGTGGTTATCACATAAATATTCCGTCATCAACAGCTTTAAAATGTACGACTTTTCAACTTTATGTACAACCATATCCCACGATTAATAAAATACAGACTCTTTGATATAAAAAAAAAATAATAATAATAAAAAAATAAAAAAGAAATCCTTGTCATTGGTCATTTGCATAATTCTTTTGTTAAAAACATTCTGATAGTACGCATAAATACTCTGAAGTTGATATTAAAAGAAGCTTGAATTTTATATTGCCAATTTGTAGTGTTTGGAGACCAAGTCGTCTAAAAACCCATAAAGTGAGAAAAGATTTGAGTCAAATTTTGATTTTGAATAGCTCTGTATTTTTAACACAAACATGGACACTACTGAAATTTGCAGGCATAATACTTTAGTTGAAACATATGAGAATAGTAAAAATTTTGATTTGTTAAAAAATTTTATTTAAAAAAATGTTCTTTTTTGAAGCCCATTTCACTTCCACTTCCAGAATACTCAGGATGAGAGAGTTGTGAAATAAAGTATGATCAATATGAAATTAAGAACTCGACTTGTCTTCATTTTAAATGCATCCTCAATTTATCGCATGTTAAGCTCTTACTTCAAAGATACAACGGATGTGCAAGTTTAAGCACTTTAAAAAATAATTCCTTGTAGAAATCCCTTTTTACTGCTTTTCAATTTACTTGAATATACTGTGAATATAATTTGGAATGTTAATAAAGAATGATATTGCATGCTAAAGAATTAAGTACCGATGATAAAAATAAACTATTGCCAAAAAGTTCGGGAATAACAACTTGGGTCATGTTAAGTTGAATAAAATGAATAAGTTTAACCGCGTTTTATTTCTTTTATTGATAGTTGCGCAAAAATGGAATTTGAAGTAAAAAATATTTGTATAGATTAATATTTAGCATGATTTCAGAAGGATAGAATTTTGAACTGCACATAAGGTTTACAATTTCTTTATGTTCTAGTAATTTATTATTTGCATCATTTGCAATTAGATCAGGTCAAAAAATATATATACCAATCCAGGCATCCATATTTTTGTTTGTATTTGGTTTGGTAGGGCGGTAAAAAAGTATAGATTCAAAAAGACTATATTTTTGAAATACAATAAAAAGTGGTCGATTCTTGCTTTGACTGGACCTCTAGTGGACATATATAAATGTGCAAATATTTTTTCACTGATATTTCATTAAACAAAGCTGTACCTGTAACAACTAGAGGGTTTTCCTCAGCCAACCTGATTTTTTTTTTAAAAATGTATAAATTCAATTTTTAAAACGGTAAAAAAAAAGATATTTTATTCACGTAGTTAAGAAATTCATTTTTGATTGTTGGTACATGCTGATTGCCTATGCAGGAAGATGTATGGACTATACAGGATCCTTTTAATCACCTGTGTATTGTGTGCGCTCATGCGGAAAGTGATTTTATGTTTCGTAGTTGATGTATACTTCACAGTAATGCAGAACAATGTGTTTGTGTTTATAAGAGTCTATTCAATGCAACAAGTAGATATAAACTAGATAAAAAGACACTTGTAAAAAATAACAATAAAAATTAATCATTAAGCGGGGCCCCCTAAATTCGCCACTGTGTACAAAATAATATAAAACCGAAAGTTACAATAAAAAGGTCTGATGCACTTTGTTTGTATGATGTAATATGATGACGTTAGTATGTTATATAGGGTACAAAAATTCTTCGAATTCAGAGATTAATAACATACGTGTAACATTCAAGGGGTGATGATTTATATTTCTTTTCATATAAGTTACTTTAAAAAAAAACAACAACAACAACAACAACAACAAAAAACAAAACGTTTAATTTGTCAGAAATGGCCAAATTTCGGTAAGAGAATGGGTAAAATAGAATATCCTATCTAAAAATAAACATGGGAACCATCAAAACCTAAATCCTCTTTCTCCGGAGAGACATTAATTCAAGGTTGATAGACAAAGGATGCGTCTTTTTTATAATATCAAACATGTTTAACATCTAAAGTATATGATATCTTAGACATTTGATAATTATATTATTGTTAAGATATTCAACTATTTTTTAATGTGTATAATGGAGGTCTTTTAACAAAATGCTTAATCAAAAATATATTTCTTTTCAAACTTTGCGTTCATTAGACAACATAAAAATGTCAGTTTTAACCATCTGCCTTCCTTCATTAAAAAAAATGGTCAATCCAATCATTCGATTGAATTTATAGGCAGTCGTTTGTTTTAATAAACTGTGTACACATTATTATAAGTTAACGCAAAGGAATTTCTCAGATTATATACCATAAATTTTACAGTCCTTCGTTCAATGAGTATGGCTGAGACAGTCTTTTTTTGTCAAAAGTGATCTAAATTAAGTGACGTTATTTTCACATTGTGGCGTTACAAATAAGGAGCAAAACTTTTTTCAGCATGTGCCATTTATAGAACTTGTATATGGCTATGTTTGAACCATTTTCTTTTAATCTTAATTGTGGTTTTGTAAATATAGATATAGTTCGCAGCGAACTTTTTGATCAACCTCGTGATTATTTTGCATGCTGACATTTGTGAGTTGCATGTCTACATACCTTTTCGCATGTAAACATAATTTTTATTGTACGGTTTAGGCAGAAATATGCCACCAAACAACCATTTAAACTTACCGAGCAAATATCCCCAAACAAGCACACGATATTTATGATGTTATTTTAAAAGGACGATATTAAATAGAACAATTGACCTTGCCCGAGAATATGCGAGAATTTGTAACAGCCTGACAAAATGGAGGTATTGGAACAGGCATTCAGGCAATATGTCACGGAGGAACTTTTGCTTCAAAAGCAAACTTTAAAACACGGTGAATATTTTTAAATCCATACATTTAATGGTCCTTTAATGATAAGTCCACCGAATTTCTATTTTCTCTTTACTGTTTTTTTTTAATTCATGTCTGTAGCTTGGACTGAATATAAATCTACATACTGTCTTTAAAATCTTACTTTTATTACTCCCTTTTGTAAAATTTAACAATTTAAAAATCCTTTTAAAATGTTTTGCATAGAAAAGAGTGCACGTTCAAATGCCTGAACATATTTTTATGTTTTTGCTATATTTCATGTAACAGGACCGACTCCTACTAAGCAAATGATGGATTTCTATACCAGGGAACTTTGGAAATACCTAGATTTTGCAATAGGCACAGAGGAAGATGTTAAATTGCGGAGAGAAATAATTAGAGTCTATGTGGAGGTTAAGAATGTTAGTCAGATAAGTGATCAATTCATTTCTGGAAGTGTAGCTGAAGGATTTAAATTTCCTTGGAGTGATCTTGATATAATGTGGTCCTTCGCAGATGGAACTGTTGTCATGGAATTAGAAGGGTTCACATACTCTAGATATGTTAAATTCATTGCAAGTGACATTGGTTGCAAACCAAGCTTCTGTAAACTTGTGCAGTATCCTTTTATTGGTTTAATGAAAAGGTCTGGTAAAGTGTCTGATGACGAGTGTGTTTCTAGGATTAAATTTTTTGAAGACTGTCACAAAACAGCATCAATAAATGCACCGATAGCACAAGCCACGGACCATGTATTTCATCATACATCTCAAGGGAATACGATGTTTGCCATTGCTTTCCTATACACCCAATTTCCTCAAATAAGATTTTGAGGAATTTTTCAACAAAATTTTGGAATAATTTAAAGTTACATCTGTTAGAAAAACATGTTACCTTGATGCATGTTGTTCCAAAAGGTCCCACAAAAGGTGATGCGAAAGGCATCCAGTGGCTGAAATCGTTCTGTGCTCTTGAACAATACATTATTCATTCACTAAATCACGTTCAATTTTGTTGTTATGGTTTATTGAAAATTGTTATCCATGATAAAAAGGTAAAGCATAGTGAAATGCATGACACTCTGTGTTCATATCATTTAAAGACAGTCTTGTTTCATGTTTTGGAAGATATACATTCCGATTTTTGGATTCCAAGAAATATACTCAGCTGCTTTTGGATTTGTTTTACACGCCTAGTCTTATTTGTGAGTAAAGGTGTTGTCCTAATTATTTTTTCCCAGAATGCAACCTTTTTCTCCAGGGAAAAACTTTAACGAAAAAAAGCAAAATTAAAGAAATTCTTTTAGATGTCCTGAAATCAAACCCATATTATCTTGTAAATGTAACTAGAATTTCATCTCTTGATAACCCTGCTCGTTTGGTGCAGCAAACACCAAAAAGATTACGAGACCTCATTACGTTCTCTATGGCATTGACGAATGTTAAAGGGTACCAGACAACGTTTCAGAAATGCATGCTTTCCATTGTAAAAATATTTCAGTTCTTAGAAAGTGAGAAAGACGAACAAATAGTTGCGTCACTGAAACATCTATTCATCAGTTTTTTGAAAACAGTTGGGGTCATTCTTTATGACAAGTTTGTTTTGACTGGTTTTACCCAGTACCTACTGTCAGCAGAAGCAGCCTTCATCTTAGAACGGAATTTTCTGGCATCTGGTGGACTATTCTTAGCGACACTGTGGTATTGCCAGGGAAAATATAACTCTGCAATAGAAGTGCTCTG